ATACTGTGAAAATAGAAATTGGTGGCTTTTGTTAAAAAAAATTTTAAATCGACTTCTGTTATCCTAGAAATTATATATTTCCCAAAATGTTTTTTAGATTTTGTATCTTCTTATGCTAGCTTCCTGTTATATGCTGAATTATTTGGCTGATGACATAAAAATAAAACTGGTAACATCAGCTGTGCTCGTGCTGGAAATTAAGTGTTGAAGAGCAACAGCCAATAACCCCACTGAAGTGCAGGAGGACAAGGAAATTTGTTTTGCACCTTTTGTGACCAACAGCTCCTGCCCAAACCTGAATGTTGAATCTGTCCTTTGTGAAAGTCACTTAAAAGAAACTGCAGGAAGCGCTGAATCAAGCATCAACGTTTATAGTTTTAAAAACCTGCTAGTAAAGTTAATAAGAATACATATCTCTACTGTATTGCAGAGCCCTGACTTGCGAATAGGTCCACTCAGCTGCTCACAGGAATTTAGCAACGGATTTAGGTTTAAAATTTTCTTATAAAGCCTCCATGGAGTCTGACCTCCTGCATAATCTTATACCACCTCCACAGCTGGCCCCGAGCTGCTTTTTGTAATGAGATAAAGTGAAGCCAGAATTTGGAACACTGGTTGCTGCTTCTGTTTGAGAATCCATATTTTGAATGTGCCTCTCTCGATTTGGGAGATGATCTTGCAAAACCCAGGAATAGATAGACATACTAAATTTCTCTCCTACCACAATGTTATAAACACTTCTAAGCCTAACATATTCTGCATGGCATAGGAGAAAACCCATGCCTAGATTTATTGCAGGAGTTCCCACTGCATCTCAGAACCCTCACAGTAGACTAGGATCATCTCTTGCTAGTGACTTTACCAATATAACATGAAGGGATGCTCTCTGCATGAAGCAGTTTACAGTCTAAAGGCAAATAGTAGCACAATGCTGAGATACACAAATGAACTTTAGAATAGCTGGATCTTCTACCAGAGTAATAGAACTACTCCTGCAACACTGAACTAAGCAGCTGCTTTTTTATATTGCTGCCAACAGTGAAATAGTACTATAACATTTTAAGGAGTACTGCAGCTGCTATAGAAGCAAAATCTCTATATACAATATGTTGTTAAGTAAAGGGTAAAAACAGAAAGTGGAATGATTTTCCCTTTGCCATAGGTTAGTCAGAAATCTACACTTGGAAAAGGATCCGTAATGAGACATCAGCTTTCTGAGGGACCTCGACCACAGCTGATTGTGAGAGAGAGTTTTCAGGAAGATTTGGAGTTAATTCTAGAGAAACGAAATTTGCAAAGGAAAGAAAGACAATGAATCCAGATTAGCAAATACAAGGACATAAACAGAACTCTTGCAAGAGAACATTACTAAGGATCCGAAACATCAGATTGAAAGACACCAGAGACAGCATACTTACCGTCTCTAGGGAGGAAGGCAATTCATAAAACTTGCATGCCTGTACCTACCTACTGGGAAAGAAGAGCAACAGGTTCGTAAGTGCAGCATCATAAAAGGAAGCCCCACAACTGAAATGAGGCTATGACCAAAGGCGGACTTGCTTTAAGGAGGAATACTTGGTGTCTCTTCCAGATTTCAGGGTGATGGAGGTTAGGTTGGTCACAGGCAGCGAAGCGTTTGAGATGGCTCAGTCCCAGGAGTGATGGACATACACACATTCACAAGGAGCAAGAGACTGCTACTCCCAGATTCTGTCACAGAATACAGGAGTAGATAGAGCTGTGACAGTGATGATAGTACAATGTTGTGCAGCCTCGCTCCCCTTACGTGTCCTGGAATCAGGCAGTGCTAAAGTCTGTGTCTACAGAGATGCTGTGAAAAGTTAATGGTGTAAACAGAACAGAACCTACAGGAAAATGGTTAAATGCTTTTATACTCTGTTCCTTTGCAAATTAAAAAAAATTGACTTCTTGCCCACATAGATTTTGGAAGTTACTGTAGCTCACTCATATTAACTGTATGTATTATTGTTGTGAAGTGAGAAGATCTAATGGAGAAAATAGTAGCATATATTACACAGCTGTAGAAAGAAAAAAGCAATAAATTTATGAAAGAATTGTAATGAACCAACTCATGCAAACTTTTTTTTAATAGTAAAACTAAAGCAAAAAGTTCTATGCCTCATTCTGCTCAATTAAAAACAATTCTCAAAGCCTCACCTATGAAGTAAAGCTCAGAATCAGCATTTGACTTCAGATCTCCCAAGAGGCCAGTTTCCTTCAGTGCTATTGGCAAGGTTCTTCTTGAATCTTGTACTGCTTTCACCTGTAACTATCTTTCTTTGGTTCTCTTGTTACTTCTGTGATTGATTGCTTCTTCAGTTTGTCCTTCAGAGGAATCTTTCCTCCTTATCTCTCCCCTCCCATTCCCTACTAAGTTTTCAAGGGATTTCTTGGGACTTTGTCCTCTATCCCTTTTTCCATTCTAAATAAGTTCATTCCTAAGAAAACAGTTCAACAGTGATCCTTATGCTGACAACTTTTAACTGTCTCTCTCTATTTCAGAATATCTCTTTCTTTCCAAGCTAATATTTTGTCCTGCCTCTCATTCTCATCAATGCCTGTCATATTCAAGATGGTTCAGTTGTCTCTATAATCTCTTCTATTTTCCTCTGTGATCACTGTGAATACCACCACACCACCTGCATTAATTAAAGTGAAAGACTGTGACCCAGAACCTCTTCCTGTCCCTCTTAAATTTGTATGCAAGACTGCCAACGAAAAACCATCATGAAACTGACCTCCCTATATCAGATCAAGAGGCTGTTAAATCTATATCCATTTCCAAGCTTACATCTTAAATGGTTTCAAAAACATAGGTGAATTTTGAATGATCGTAACTTTTATAATCAGTATTTCTCAAAGTTTAATTTGCAGGCAATATTAATTTATAGTACTGGAGGAGAACATAATAAATATTCTGTAGTGAATTTTTAAAGATTACTGATGTCTCCAGTTTTACACCTTTGCTATTAAAGTTGTGCTAGTAATTAAGGAACAGTTATTGTCTGTGCAAATTGTAAAACATCTGAGTTAGCAAAATGAGGTTACCCTGCAGTCACTCACGGTAAAATTGCTGGCTCCAGGATATAGTGTTTAATCCCATGAATAGCCATTTTGAGTTCATTATGGCCTGTACCAGTCCCTTAAGCTGACTTTGATGCGCATGTTTCGTCTTGAGGCTACAAGCCTTAACTCACAGATACCAGTCTAAGTGATAAGAAGTGTTGAGATATTTGTGTAACTTTCAATTAGGTTTTGAATTATGGCAATACATGAACACCGAAATTTTTCATTGGCTAAACTGTCATTGAAAACACACTTGTACCATCAATGTGATGCTTAAGTAGATATTATACTGTTGACCTGATGTCAGCTCTTGTGGGTAGAGGCTTTTTTTTTTTTTTTGATGGGAGTCTTCAGAGGATGGAATATAAATCTGTTTTAAAGATGAAATTGCTAGTTCAGCTACAGCTTTCAACAGTGCTTTTCTGTACTTGGACTACTTTTAAAATCTTCTTGTTATTTCAAATGACCTAAATTGGAATTCACTGAATGGCTTTTTTAAAGCGCAAATGAAGATCAAAGTCAGAGAGGAGAGACTGCAATAAGAAAGTCACTTCAGTCATCCAGGCTGTAAAGAATTCTCCACAGAAGCATTTGCAATGTATGCCTCAATACTGACCCATGTGAAAGTCTCTCTTGCCTCTGGGACTGCAATGCCAGGGCCTGGAGCACAATCCCATACCCACCCCAGGAGTCTGGTCCTCCGCACTCAAGGCCAGCTCTCTTGGCAACAAAGAACTATTTGAGAAGCCTTGGCCAGCCTTGGAGTTCTTTGAGAAAAAGTTGGAAGAAGCCTGTGCAGAGTATCCCACTTTGCTCAGAAATTGCTTTCAAGCTGAGGCCCCTTGTGCTTCGTGCCTGCTTGAGCTACATTGCAGCTGTATTGCAGCTACGTGCATACCTGGCCAGATCCTGACCCTGCCTGACCTGTGGACTGATTTCCCAACCTTGGGTCTCTGCTTTGTCACTACGGAATTGCCTGGTGACCTTGACGCTTGGCTGAACCTGTCTTCCATCACTGGGTCTGTCCGGCTTGCCTAGCTCAGCATTGTAGGACCAGGCCCTGGCTGGTGATACCATTGCCTCTGCCTGCCTTGTTACAATGTTTGGCACCTGGCTCCCTTTCTCCTGTGGAATAGCCCGCCCTTGCTGTTCCCTGACAAACAGGACCTGCAAACACTGGAGCACCCCAGATAATACAAAATTACAGAAACACTTCCCTTCAAAACCATGTTAGTGAGACTGACAGATATAAGAATTCTCATTCTCTGCGAGTTATTTCATTGGTACTGTTATTTTCAAGATTGAAAAGCAGAGGAAAAAAAATCAGAGACACTGTCCTTTGAAAATATTCTAAAGATCAAACAAAGTTACTTTCCCTCTGGCTTGCTCAGGCGCTCCTTCTTGATTTCTGCTTGCTGGCTTCCATTGGAAGCTGGTCTTTCAGTGATTACTTTTCAAAATTGCATTTGGAACTCTTTCTCACAGGATGCTCTAGAAACCAAGAATATAAATATCTTCAAAAGATTAGCAGGGGGCAAGAAAATAAAGGTCCATTGACAGATCCTACCTCAGGAAATCACTAAATCCCCAGTGGTAAAGGTGGTAAAGTTGCCAGGAGAAGAGTAATTCTATACTTGTAGGGCTTGTTAAATGCTTTACCTATTCAGCCATCATGGACCATTCATTACAGACCAGCTCCTGTTGGAAACTGGCTACTAAGCTTTGAACTGACTGAGTACATCTGTTGTTATGTTTTTATGATGTAATATTATTTGACTGGGATACTAGAATAATATTCTTCTACTTGTAAATTCTGGCAGCACTGACACACAGGCTACAAGAGCTGTTGCCTTTGCAAGACTTCTGACTTTGTTTCTCTTAATTGATTTGATGCTACTTACACACCTAGGTGCTGCAACCGATGCAGAAGTGCTGTTGAATGCATCTGCAGCTGAGAAATCAGGCAAGCAGAAGAACCTGTTCTCTTGGTGAAAAGCAAGGGGTGAGGTGAGTCTGTACTTAACAGTTCTTACTTGCTTTTTAAGGATACATGAACTATATAAAGGATTGATTCCTACTTGTCCACTTGATATTTCAGACAGTGTGATCCAGCTCTGTTACTCACCCTCCCAGGGAACCTGTAACTTCTGATCTCTGCTATATGTGTGTATACCTCTATATAATGTGTGTGGAGGGTCAGAAAATAAAGATGGCTCCCTCACAGCACTCCTTTTATTTTTATAATGGTATGTTAAGATGATATACTGGCAAACGACAGCTAATTTCCAAGTGTGTCAGTGAGATACCATAAATGTCAAAAGAAAACTGAGAGTCAAGCACTGCTGAAGTAGTGTCATGGGTTGAGATATGCATTTTCTCCCGGTTTTCCTACCCCTCAGCTGCCCTCCCCAATTACTACAGAAGCCATTGGTACCCCGCCTTGTGTTTTATAAGTGTATTTTGTGATCTAGAAAATACATTGAGGTTATTGTGAGATACTGCCATGGCTCAGTACCTTAAACGCTAGCCATAAAAAAGGACATGCACGGATCGAAACCTTGGTGAGAGATAAAAGTCATGATCCATCAAATTAGAAATGTGCTGGCAAAACATCTTGTTTTCTTCATGTATTTGACAGGGCCATAGTTGATCACTTAGTAATAACATAGGAACATGAAAAAAGTGCTGAAGATGTAGCCTGGTGCTGTTTGGGCTGAGAAATGTGGCTTCTGCTTTGAAGTGTATCCTTTTCTATCGCAATGTGTACAACATCATCCTCATTGCTATTTCCCAAATTTTTAATACACATCTAGTTTTTGCTTTAGCTTTGTCAAGCTAGCCCTTTAAAACATGGGTCAGGATACCCAAATTATGAGAGAAATTCCAAACCATTCCCCTGTCTTATAACAGTGGAAAAGAGCTTCTGATCATTTAACTCCTCTGATCCATGTTGGCCTTGTTTTCAACTTTTTCTGTGTAAAAATATGAGGATCAGAAGATTTCTTTTTTTTCACTTTTCTTAAATGACTGTGCAAGTTCATATTTTATCTATTGGCTCCTAGGTTAAAAAAAAAATCTGAGAGTCACATAATATAAGCCAGTACTGCCTTTCTTCTATTTTCCC